TATACAATGTATGTCCATACCGCAAATCACTCCTTTAAGTAGTTACAATCTCCATACCAAAGATAATAAACTCTTCACGAAGTGCAGGGTATAAAAAGCGAAACGAGCTTTAAAAATCCGTTAATTTTCAACCGCCATTTTGTTATTTTCAATTATGTTAACCTCTTTGAAATTGTGCTAAAAACTAGAAAAATTGATTAATTTTCAAACTTTTCATAATAAAAATAACTTTGAAATACTTTTTTTATTATTTCTGAACCTTTTTTTTATTTTCTGCGAATTTTTGTGTGTACATATGTATATATTTACACATTATGGTTGTTCTTATTCCTATTTTTTTTGTGTTTTTTTTTTTTGTTTTTAACTTAAACAATAAAAACTTAAAAATCTATTCCTTATTTTTTTGTTGTCAATATTTAAAATATTTTAAATTTCTTTTTTTTTTTTGTTTTTTTTTTTTTATAATTAATATCAGTTATATAACAATTATATAACTTTGTTATACCTTTTTTTTTTCAAAAATAATACTCAAGACAATCTAATATTAAAAAAAATAATTAATAAATATTATCTTAAACGTACATAAATATACTTATTTATTTTGTATTAAAAATTTAAATTACACATATACATATATATATATATATATATATATATATATATATATATATATATACATATATGCATGTAAACATATACACATATTCATGTAAATACTAAATTTTAAAGTACAAGTTGTTATGAAATCAAAACTTAAATCAAAAATAAAATTTTCTCTTAGACATAAGAATCTTTTATATAATTTAATCGAACATATTTTCTTCTTCAATTCATAAAATTTTATTTTATTCAAAATACTTAGTTTTTATATTTTATAAAACATTCTCATATAATCTCTTAATAGTCGATATACATATATTTATAATCATGAATATATATATATATTATATTATATACAATAACTGTAATACTAATTCGATAAAAAAAAAATGTTTTTCAAAATGTTTTCCTGCGTAACTTCACAATAAACTTTACAATTTATGATAATATACAACGATAAAATTGAAAACTAGTGTTCCATATACATTGTATAGTTCTAATTCTTTCTTGAGATAAAATTTCAAAAACGACTTTAATAGTTCAGAGTAATTTTTGTGAACTGCTAATGTATTTAAATACTCCAAACAATTTTGTTATACACCAAAAAATTTAAAACAAAACCAAAAAAAAACAGCAACAGTTTGAAATTTTAATACGTCATTTCGAAAAGCATCGAATTTATAATAAAATAAAAAAAAACAAAGTTCAATCACAAATGAAATTTAAATCGGATTTTCTGAATTCGAAATTTAAGAACTGCTTAGATTATTATATAAAGAGCGAATTGACATTGATGTTCACTGTTTATATGGAAATTGCAACAGATTTATGGCATTTGGGAAACGTTTACTTCAATACTGCAGCTCTAATAGATTTTCTGCAATTTTAAAAAAATGTGTTTTAATTATTTTGCTAGTTTATTTGTGAAAACTCTTAAAAGACACATAATAGGATGTACATTCCATTCAATTCTCATGTATGTTTCTCAGCAGCTTTTGCAATCAAATCTTAAAAAATTCGCATGGAACACGTATATTTTCATTTCTCACAATTCAAAGAAAGTTATTCAACAAACCGATCTAAAAGAATACTTCAATGTAAATGAAACTGGCTAAATGAGGAAATATTTCTGACATTGAAACTTTTCGTATCAGGCTTATTAATTTTACCCCATAATAATTCAAAAATTGAACGAATTTTTTTGCAAAAAAAATTAATTGAAAACTAAACTTGTGATTGTAGATTGTAGATGCAACATTATACTAAACGGAATTAAATAAATAAAACGTTATACTGATTTAGGTCTTTTTTGCACATAAACGTCAGGAAAAGTGTTAATTACGTATAAATGATTAAAACTTTTAATTGAAGCAAAAATTGTTCTTTTGTCAGATTTACTGTAATTTGGGTAAGTTTGCTGCAGCTTAAGAGACCTATTTACTGCGGTTTTGAAAATATAAATGACAGCACAGATGCTTAAAATGATATGCTTTAGTAGTATAGTATTTATAGACTATTATACTATAATCAGTATTTGAAAATACAAAGAGAAATTTTTATAAGCAGCATAAGATCATCGTGATCGACATACATTTTTATACTCTATATATAAAAATTTTGTTTTTTATTTAAATATTTTAATATTTTGTTAATTAGACATAAATATGGGATTTAATTTAAAAACAAAAACAATCAAAATAACATTGTAACAATACATATATATATATATATATATATATATATATATATATACGAAGTAAATAATCCTGGTTTTAATAAACTGCAATAATAAATATATTCGTACAACTATTCAGCAATTACAATCATACATAAGCTGAATTGTATATTAAAACATATTGTATGCATAAGTGCGCACTATGTACATATATAGAAATAGTTTAAAGAAGCTCATATTAAATAGCGTAATTTATGTTTTGATATATAACAAAAAATGTACCAAAATTGTTTTATTAATGATTTTTATTTTCATTTTATATACTTCGAATTATTTTCAAATTATATATTTCAAATTTGATTCTGCAAACGTTTATTTTTTTTTTTTGATATTTTTTATCGAATAAGTACTTTATTTTAATATTATTTCGATTTATATGCTCGAAAATTTATATATTTTATAAAATTAAATTCTCTAACTTCAAAATAGCAATGTAATACGGTATATATATTTAAATACAAAATTCAGCCTATGAATTTTTTAAAAAGAATATAGTAGTAGCAATACTATTGCATTTTTGATGTCATGGATTTAAACTCATCAATTTAAAAAAAATATGAAGATTTTCAATATAAAATTAATACAAATCAATGCACATATTGCAGTAACACATATGATTTTTTTAAAATCTGACTTGATTTAGCTTATTTAGCAATAACTTATATCATAAATCCAGGCTTAATCATCTAAATTTCCAAAATAATATAGAATAATTATATATTAAATTATATAATATACCTTGACTTCCAAAATACAGGAATATGACATTATTACATAATTCAGCTATTCAAGCTTATAAGTTGAATTGTGTACCTGCCAATACCGCATTACTGCATTTTGGTAGTCAAGGATATTATGGAACTCAAGGCTTATTTTATGATTTCTATTTGAAATGTCATATCTAATATGAATTTTTGTATTAAATGAGCTGTTTACACCATATACTATAATAATGTGACAAGCCTCTGGTTGTATTAAAACATTAAATTGAAATTGTATTAAAACATTATTCAATATTATTTTGCTTACATTGGGTGCAACATTAAAAGTGCAGTTACAGTATAGAGTTTCAGAATATTTTTTGTCGCTTCAGCATAAAATTTAATTATATTTTGGAATAAGGCAAACAATAAAAACTTAAAATTGCGTAGAGAAAAATTTGAGTACAGTTCAAAATAATAGAAAGAGTAGAAATTGCTTAAAAATTAATAATAAAATTTTTATAATATTACATCATCAATATGTGTACTGAATTACGACAACGCAAAATTTCTGCGACTTTCTTTTATGTACGATTTTCGCTCCCACAGTATTATACCAATGTAAACTATCCCGTTTGTTTTTGTTTATTGTTCCGCTTTTTTCTTCTTTTTATAAGAATTTAAATTTTTTTTATGAAATATTTTATTTGGGTCCATACATTTCTTTTTTTCACGCACACAAGCATCTTATATATTATTTATAAATATTTTTAATTATAAAAGAAATAAATACATTTCTATTTACTATAATCCTAATTTTATAAAAATTTATTTAAAAAACTAAAAAAAAAATAATAAATTCATAAGCTGAAGTGTATTTTAAATAAAGATTAATTTGAAATTGATGAAATTTTCAATTATTTCCAAATAATATTAATAATCATTACTTTTAAAAATTTTTCAAAGTAAATTATTTTCACACATACTTATATTTAATCTCTGATTTAAAAATGGCAGTTAAAAAACGATTTATTAATTTAGCTTATAAATTTTAATAGCTGAATTATGCATCTACAGTAAATACAATAAAATAATTGCAATTCAAAGTGTCACAAAATAATTTACTTGTCATATAATGAAAGAAATTAGAAATTTATTTAGAAATTAAAAATTTGAGTATTTTGTATAATGTGACTTCAAAATTTCAATAATACTGTAATACTACAAAATAAAAAAAATGTAAAATTTCAATAATGCTGTAATTCAGCTATTATTATCAGCACAATACAGCAGTTGAAAATAATAAAGTGAATTGTATATTTAATACTGTATTACTGTAATATTGAAGTTAGATCAATTTTAAAATTTAAATTTTATTGCATATTATTCGATTTGTTTTTTCAAGGAAATTTTTTTTAAAATATTTTCTGAAATATGGGAAATAAAATGAATGAATAATAAGTATTTTCATATTTCAAATAATTATATAAGAATATTTTCATTTCTGCATAATTCAGCAATTAGAAGTCATAAGTTGAATTGTATATTTGAATACCATATTGCTGAAATTATGAAGTAAAGGATAAATTATAAAACAATGAATAAAAAAAATTTGATCTTGTAAAATTATAAAATATTGAGCCCCACGTGTATTTTTTTTATAATTTTATTTATTTATTTTTTTTTTAATTTTTGAAATTTTTGAATTTTAAAATACTGTTTTTAATTTTTGTAAAAATTTATAAAAAATCGTTGGGATTCTTAATTTATCTAAATTTACGTTAATATATCTGAGTTAAAATTGCATTAATACTATATTTCTACACAATTGGTCAATTATAGCTTATAAACTGAATTGTGTATTAAAATACCGTTTTATATATCAATTATAAATTAAATTTTATTTAGAATTGAATGCTTTTTGTTTTTTTATTACCTATTATCATTATATTGCTTTAATAAATTTTAATACTACATTTAAATAATAATTAATTTAATTTTTTTAAATTTATTAATTTCATTACCATAAATATAAAAAAATATCAAATATAAAATTTTATATTATTATAAAAATTGTTTTCTATATTATTTTTTATTTGTATAGAATACTAAAAATATGTCCCCTAATTATTTTAAAAATTTATATAATTTTTTCGTACTAAAAGAAAAACCTTAGTAATCTAAAAAAAACCTTAGTAATCGATTATTTTTATTTAATTTTTATTCCTCATATTATACAATATTTTATTTTATATTTTAATTTTATATAAAAAAAATGTAATAATAATATTATTAATATATAGATGGAAGACATAATTTAATGGAATGTTTTTGTATTAAATTTTTTATCAATGTGTCTGTGACTTCAGAATTGCAGCAAATGCAACTGATTAGCTGAATTTTGTTTTAATGTCTTATAATTTTAATTTTGAAGTCAAATACAAAAATAATAATCTTTCAAATCCAAATAACATAACTGTGTAATTCCTATAGCATCTTCATCGAAATTTCAATATAAACCTATATTTTCTTATTTAATAAATCAGCAATTAGCATTTTTTAGCTGAACTGTTTTATAATATGCCTTTGTTCTCCAAAATTAGAGTATACGTTATTATTATACAATTCAGCTTATAAATTGATATTGCTGAATTGTGGTAAAAGACATTATTACTGCAAATTCTTGAAGTCACAGTGATGGTATATTATATAATTTCGAATTTATATTATAACTCGGATATATTAATGTTTAGTTAACTGGTAATTGCTAAATTTTTAAAGTAATAAAAAATATCACTGTAATTGGGATATTATAAAAAAATTTTTTTTTGCTTCTGCTTAAAATAAAAATTATATTTATCAAATCGCTTAAAATCTTTTTGTATAATTTATTTAGGCATATACAAATTAATATATAAGCGGATTGATGAAGCAAATTAATAAATTTTATTTTAGGATGAGAAGATTTTTTGTTTTTTCTTTTTTTTGTTTAATTATTTAATTTAATTTAATCATTTTTTTTTAATAAAAATAGTATTTAATTACAATAGAAAATTGAAATTTCTCAAAATATTAAGAAATTAATAAGTATTAGAACAACAAAAAAAAAAAACTAAGACAGTTTTTTTTTTATTTTAATTTTTTCTTTTTAAATTTCTGCCGTCGTTTTATGGGTTTCTTGTTGCATTTTTTCTCTTAATGAAGTCACATCATCATCTATTCTGATAACTAAACGTATTTTCTAAATGAATAAAATGAAAAGTAGAAAATAATAAGTATATAAATATAATTTGTATTATTATAATAAGTGAGCAACACTAATCTTATCGGAACACTAATTTCATAAGTACAAAGTATTTCTTCGACTTCAATACTGTAAATAAAATAATGCTACAGTATTCGATAATGTAAACTTACAATTGTCTATTTAAGTTGTAAATTATTATAATATTGAAATAATTATTTATTTATAAATTAATACTTTTCTCTTTAAAAATTGCTGTTAAAAACAATCTATTACATTATTTAAAATAGTGATATTAATATATCAAAATATTCCAAAAGTTGCATACTTTTAGGATGAGAAAAATAAAATTGGTGCTTTAATATAATGCTCCTATGGTAGGCTCGTCACCTACTTAGTAAACTCAATGACGTAAGAAACTGATTCGTGGCTATCTACAATATCATGCATCAGTCCTGTGCTCCTCCTAGGAGCCAAATAGAATAAAATAAAGTTGGGTCAAACCAATGGTTTGTATTGTAGCACTTTTCCCTTCAATAAGTGAAAATACTGCTTTGAAAAACATTCTGTGTATACCTACCACACTATTAAAATTATTTTCATTTACATATGAAACTATTTCTAGGATTGCATATATTTCGGGTGAACGATTTACGCAGTCTTTGAAATAAAGCAAAAATAAATTTTAAGAGGGGCTAGTGTAGTTCTCGATTTTAAGAGTTAATTACGTGAATTAAGAAAAATAATTATATTTTTTAACGTCATGGAATTTACCGTTAACTTTTTTCGATTATAGAAATTTGAAAAACTTTGTGGTTTTTTTAATATAAGGTGCCAAATATTCAAATTTTACAAATTTCAAGAGACGATAACTTGAGAAGCGGTGGAGGTGGAAAAAAATTATCTTCTCCTATCTTCCCCCCTCTAAAATAACTTTTAGAGGGGGAAGATAGGTAAAAATTTTCTTCTACGGAAACAAGTTTCTAGTAAAAATCTGTGCACATATAAAATTTCAGCTTTCTATCTTCAATGGTGTAGAAGTTTTGTAAACATATCTAGGGGCAGAGGGGCGGACGGGCGGACGTACGGATGGACGGACAGAGTGAAACCAATAAGCACTTTTTTTCAAAAATTTTATGGAAAAGTGCTAAAAAGAACGTAATGTTCGAATTTAAGGATTAAATGCATTAATTAAGATAAATAACTATATTATTTGATGGCATAGTTTTCTGCCTTTATAGAAATTTAGAAGAGCCATTTTGGGATTTTCGTGCTCAACTATTCTAGACCGCAGTGTAAAAAGCCAACCGCTACTTTTCTGCGTTTGCAGAATTTAAAAAATACTCGTATTTCTGGTTTCATTACTAAAAATTTTCACCTATATGATTCAACCTAAATACAGATTTTTTGTAAACCTCTTTATACATTTTCAACAAAAAGAAATAATCTTTGTTTTTCTTGTGGATTAAAATCAAAAATTTCATCCCGATTTTTTAATCCTATAAAATATTGATAAGAGAATAAGGTTGCTTTATATTAAACTAATACATATTTCTCAACGGCACAGAATTTAATTTTTAGTGATACTTTTTTTGAATATAAATACTTACCGTTGCTAAATCACCTGGAGTTTTGTTCCATAACCAGAACATATAACCAGGTATATATAACATAGATGATAAGGCTGTAAACCAACCAAATACATGTGCCCACCATGGAAAACTATAATCTAAATATTTGACTGGCGTCCATTGTACCAAATTGAAAATAAATACTCCCTATATTAAAAAAAAATATAAAAAAAGATAAAAAAAATATAATTAAGCGTCTTCTAAAGGGTTTAAATTAAAGGGACAAAAATCTGTTTACCCTGGTTTGAAAACTGCTACGATATTAGCACACAATTGAGTTAATGAGCAACAGTTGCTGAATTGTGTACCAAAACAGTATTTGGCAGTGATTTCGTTTTCAAGGTCATAAAATATAAATAACTGATAATTGCTTAGATAATTCTTTTATTACAATAGTTTTCATTACTTCAAAATTGCAATAAGACGGTATTAAAACACAAATTTAGCTATAATTTAATTCACAAAATTAGCTACTGAATTGTGTATTAATACTGTATTAATGCAATATTGAAATCAAAGATTACGAGTACAGACAATAGAATATTTTTTTTGGTTTTATACGTACCACACATATTGTTGGTGTTGCTATTGTCCAACAAAATTTCCACCATGCCATTGGATAATAACCGATCATATCTTTTATACCATCATAAAATCGATTAACACCATAACACCATGATATTGATATGCATTCAAAGAATATCAACCATAGTAAACAGAAACCACTGACCGCATATGAATCTAATATTTGGAATACGTACATTCCACCCTACATATATTCCATTTATGGAGGTTCGTGAATTTTTTTACAGTTTTTAAGTATTTCAAATATAAAAAAAAACATAGAATAAAAAAAATTGTGTTTGAATTGATATTTTTTTTTATTAAAATTATTAATTATAATTACTAATATATAAAAATTATGCATAATATAAAATTACCTGTGTAATACAAGTTATACCAACAAGATAACTTATCATACATACAACTGCAATGAAAATTTCTTTACGTTTTCTTAATAAATGTGGCCATTCATCAATTATTGCTGTTATAAAGCCTTCCATTGTACAAAATTGTGAATCTAGACCAATTAATAATAACATAAAGAAGAATAAACATGCCCATAATGGTGAACCTGGTAATTGTAAAACAGCAGATGGATATGCCAAAAATGCTAATCCTGGTCCTGTAAAGCATGTCAAGCAAAAAAAGAAAAAAGTTACTATAAATCGTATAAATGTTGATTTTGACGAAAGTTTTGATATTACACTATGTCACATATAATAATAAGAATGTTTAAAAATTTTTACCGCACTGATAGTTAAATATAATCTTTCTTACCTGAGGCAGCGACTTCAGCAACTGGTCTTTGCTGTTCATGTGCCATAAAACCGACAACAGAAAATATTACAAAACCAGCAAACATACTTGTTGTTGAATTTACAGTGCATACTATAAGTGCATCTCTTAAAGTAAAAATAAATATGCAATGAATATTTTAGTAATTTTTCATAATAATTTTAATATATACTTATAAACATTATTCGTAAATTTATTATAACTTCCTAATGCAACTAATGTACCCAAACCAAGACCATATGAAAAGAAAATTTGTGTTACTGCATCAATCCATACCTATGAAATAAAAAAGGAAGTTTTTTTTTTTGTTTCTTAACATATAAACCAATTCATTTTATATAAATTTTTGCATAAATAATTTTTAACTTCAAATTTGCACAATTAATACACAATTCAGCTTATGAATTTTATTTTATGAATTGCATATTAATACGTTTTCGCTTTTATTTTAAAATTTGGGCCTTATTGCACCAACCACTTTAATATTTAAGCTTTTTAAATAGTACTTTTTTATTATAGCACAATACGACCCATGGTTATAATATTTAACAAGAATTACCTCCGAATGTGACAATTTTGTAAAATTTGGTATTACGTAAAATTTAATTCCTTCAATAGCACCTGGCAATGTAATACCACGTATTAATAATATTGTTAATAATACATATGGAAATAATGCTGTGAAATAAACAACTTTTCCTGTCCATTTAACACCTTTCCAAATACAAAAATAGCATAAGATCCATACAAGTAATAATGTTCCAGCTAGTTCCCATCTTATAACACCAATATCTTCAATACCTGATGAAATTTGTAGTGCACGACGTCTAGTATTAATAAAATTTAATTAGTTTAAATTAATTTTTAATAGTTTAATTTAATTAAATTTACAAAAGAAAATTACAACTTACTCCCAAAATTCTTTAACTGGATCAGTTAAATCAGTTAGTGAAACATTCGAACCAGTTGTAAGAGCACAAACTTTTGTTAAATTTCCTTTAATTTTATCATCCCAACATAATAAATTTTTTCTTTCATAGGGATTAACACAATTTTGGGTATTCCAAAAATTGTTACATGTACGCCATGGAACATCTTATATTTACAAAATAGTAAATAAAATAACGAAAAAAAAATCAAAAATTAAAATTTTATAGCTTAATAGTTTCAATAATAGTACATAAACGATTTCATAATAAAAATGAGTTACTCGAAACCAGAGAGGGAGCGCCTCACCTAAATTTGCGTTTTATTAAAAAATAAAGTTGACTCAAATCAATCCTTTGTAAAGTAGCACTTTTCTTTTCAAGAAGTTAAAATTTTGCTTTCAAATACAATTTACATTCTACATTATTAAAATTTCTTTCAATCATATACCAAAATATGTCAAAGATTGAATATATTTGGGACAAGACAAAAAGAAATTTAAATAGTCTTTAAAATAATGCTCGAATTTAAGAGCTAATAATTTAAGTTAAAAAAAAATAATTATATTTTTTAATGGCATGGCATTTACCGTCAGCTTTCTGCATTTATAGAAATTTGGAAAAATTTGCAGTTTCGTAAATATAAGGTGCCAAAAATTCACATTTTTCAAATTTCGAGAGAGGTGAAGGTGAAAAAAACAATTCTTTGAACGAAACGAGCTATTTATTAATGTCTGAAAGCTGCTAAATATATTATTTAGACTAATACAGCCAGAAGTCTACAAGACAAACGATGTCAAAAATTTTATATTCTTATATTTCATATTTAATATAAAATTATTATTTTATATTAAATTCAAACGAAAAAACAAACTTTAGATAACGATAAATTTTAACGGCCGTTTTGTTTTTTTTTAAGTTCAAATTTGGTATGCGGCTTGGTATGCAGAAGAGGATCGTACATAAAGTAATGTTTGTGGTTTTGTTACAGTAAACAGTCAAAAAATTGCACTTAACTCTGAGAAAAATTTTATCTATATTAGATATTTTTTATAACCAGAACAGACCCAAACTATATCCGAAATCACAACAACCACACTTTATAGCTAATTTTTAAATATATGTATTTCACACCACTTCATTTTTATTTTGAATATAATTCAAAGCAGTTTTAGAAATATACTCGTAATGCTTACAAATCAGTTATACTTTTGAGCTGTTTATGAAAATAAATTATCTAGTAAGAATAAAAAGTATTTCTGAATTGGCTACAGTAATGTCGTTTTTAAATATAAAAATGTCTCAAAAGTGTTCTTTATTTCAAATTTTAATATTACTTTATATATATTTTCACATTAATATTACTTATAATATTAATTTGATATATATTTAAGTATGAAAAGTAATATATAAATAGCTGTATGCAATATTTATAACTACCATTTTGAGATAATTAACATTTATTTGGTAGCTCTACTTCATTTACATTTGTATATACATATTATAAATTTATCACATATGCAGATATTTTCAAATACGTATTGTTATATTACAACAAATTTAACATCATTCTCATGGCACATTGCAAATAAATTCGTTCTCATTTGCTAATATTTTTATTTAAATACCGATAAACTTGAGTACACATTTTACGGGTTATGAAATATTTTATTTTCAAAACAGAAATATGACTTTCGAAATGATTTATAGCCACCTTAGAAATGCGATTTTTTTTTTTCAGTGAAAGTTTTTGAGGGAAATTTGACAAGTCATAACTTCTAGAAAAAGCAGACATCTTCTTCTGCGAAAATAAGTTTCTAGTAAAGATCTATGTATATTTGAAACTTCAACTTTCTATCTTCAAGGGTTTATAAGTTTTGTAAACGGGTTCACGGACGAACGCAAAGACAGAATGAAACTAATAAGCACTTTTTTTCAAAAATTTTTTGGAAAAGTGCTAAAAAGGTTTTAATATTAATAAATATGGCTTGCATTTATCTTTTAGTTTTATATTCTTTTAATTTTGTTATACGAGTAATTCATTTTTAAAGATGGAACATTTGAATGTGGAAGCCTTTAATACAAACCATTTTTTCTTTTAAGTAACTTAAAATTTCTCCAAAGAAATTTTGTGTATATGTAATTTTAATCGTATTTAATACCAATAAATAAATTTAAAAAAAATTCACTTTTCGTTTCAAACTCGTATAAAATTATATAAGTTGCATGAAAACTTCTACTCATATAACCAAAATCATTTGCAACATACAAAAAAATTTAAATTAAGAGACACCTAATATATTCTTCAGCTAAAAACAATTAACAAGTAAAAATAATTCACAATACAAAATATAATTTTTTTCATAGTTTGTCAATTAACCGAAAAAATTTGCATATATATTTTCGATTTCAGAGTACTAAAATTTTGACACAATAAAATGAAACTAACCGAAACTCATTAAGTGAAAAATCATAAATGTGCGGTGAAAAAAACGCATGTCTAAAGTGAATTGATTATTGAAATATCTCAAAGATCATATTTCTGCTTTGTAAATAAAATATTTCATAACTCGTAATATCTTTATTCAGAATAGATAATATCTTTTATCTTTACATAATACAAACATATTTAAATATTTCTTATAGTAAAACGCGTCAAAGCTATTTCAATTATGTGGATAAAACAAAACTAAAATGGATATAATATATAGCAATTTCGCAGATAATCCAATTTTGATATACAAATGTTGTAATAAAGGTACTATTAATAGTTCTTTTGGCAATGCCCCTTTTTGGCTACCAAAATATATATAATATATTTCTAAAACTTCCAAAAAATAAATTCAAAATAAAAAGAAAAGGGTAGGAAATACATTTATTTTAAAATTTGCTGTAAAGTGGGATTGTCATGGTTGCGGTTCCGGATTAAGTTTGCTGTGTTTAAAAAAATATCTAATTTTATGTTTTTTTTTTTGTTTATTCAAACTTACCAGTTCTTATTGACATAAAGAAATAAAAGACTGCCCATGCCAAAATTACAATATAATAAACATTCATCCAACATGACATCACAGCTGCTGCATATCCAATTCCTATTATTTTGAATAAATAAATATTAAATGTACATGAATACATTTTGTATATTCATTGGTTTGCCGATTTTACGTCGATGAATTTGAAAAGCAGCTCACCAATGAACTATCAAAAGAAAAATCAGTTCGATTTGATATATACTTTATAGCTTAAAAGCGACAAACTAATAAAACCACTTTTAACAAATTTATTTTTGTTGTTTTTATTTTACTTTGCCTAACCTATTCAGGCATTTGTTCTACCTAAACCTAAGTATTAGAAAAAGATCGTGTTTTCAATTATTGGAAAAATTGTTTTTACCGTATAAAAATCTTACACTCAATAATATCAAATTTTCTTTATTGCCTTTAACCATATTATTAATGTATATATCTTGGGTTTTCTTAAATTATGGGGTTTAATTATGTTAAAATTTTAATACTATGTAATATTAGTAGCAATATTTTAAAATGCTAACTTTCTATACCATCTCCTAATTAATTTTCACTAGTTAATGTTTTAGAAAAGCAAAAATAACACAAAAAAAATCAATGGTGTTTTACTCGAAATGGCAAAAATGTAGATATCATGTTCTGACAGGAAACCCCTATAGATGAAAAACAGAAAGATATATAATTGAAATTTGACAAGTCATAATCTATTTTACATCAATTTCATTTTTGAAGAGCCTATATACATAGTTATTTAAAAAATTGTTCTGTCGTCGCGGTACATTCCCTTCGTCGACATCTCCGCTTATAAAGCTATAGGCCGCACGTATTATATAATCTGTGCTTAAATTAAATTTTAATTCTGATATAATAATGCGGTAGACTAATTATTATCCGAATAGATCCGAATAGATTAGAATTATATAAAAAAATAAAATTTTTCAAAGAAAATTATGCATAAATTTTCAAAGTATCAAGCCCATTATGAATGTCCTTTTTAAGGGAACCCCTGATTTCAAATTTGCTTTCATTACTAAATTGTATATTACTACCATATTATACAAAAATTTAAAGACAGAATTTCTATGTACAAAATTTTGAAATTTAGGAGGATTCATTTCTTGGATTACAAAGTTATCTCAGATTAATTTAAAAAAAAAACTTTATTTTGTGTATTCAATAGTTTTAATATTTACCTTTAAATATTGGAGCAATTTTAAACACACCTAAACCACCAATTGTTAACATTTGACCTAATGCCAATTCCATAAAAAACATTGGTATACCAGCTAATATTAATGTAATAAAATATGGCACCAAAAATGCCCCACCACCATTTTTATAACATAAATATGGAAATCGCCAAACATTACCTAAACCAATTGCTAAACCAACAACAGATAATATAAAATCTAACTTAGATCCCCATGATCCTCTTTCTGGTAGATCTTCAACTTTAACAAGCTGTAAAAATAAAAAAAAATAAGAATTTTTTTTTATTATTAAAAATTATTATTTTGAAATTTTATGTTTTTAATTGTGAAAAATTATGTATTTCAAATTGTGAATTGAAATAACATGTTAGTTGTTTATTTCAATTTCTAGAAGTTTCGGCAATTTATTCAAGAAGAAAATATTTGAATTTCGAATCTATTTAGTTTAATATTTCTAAATCAAAATAAATAGAAAATTCTGAAACCCTGTGAAAATTCGCTTAAAACAGTGATCGATTTATTTCATGACTTACAAAATGCAGTAACACGATAATAATACACAATTCAACAACACATACTTATAAGCTGAATTGTGTTTTAATATCGTATTACTGCATTTTGGGAGTGAAGGAATAGGGACATAAAACCAAAATACTTGATTAAAGTAATAAAAAGTAATAATTAAAGAAAGCTTTATTGTGTACAGTTCATACTCTTGAAGAATAACGTTTAACATTAAATTATTATCAGAGGTTAGTTATATTAACCTCTGATAATAATTTAATGTTAAATTATAACAAAACAAAAAAAATGTTTTAAACGCTGAAAGAGAGTAAAAAGTTGGCATGTTTCCTTTTTTCTCAATTTCTGATAAACAGGCTGAGTGGCAAACTGAAATGTTGTTTTTTGATCCCTCCATCTCTAGTTGGGACACCCCAATTACGCGAATTCAAAAATAGAATTTAGTCGTCTAATTTTTACATTTCTTTTTATAATTTTGGGGAATATAACAGTTAAATTTTCGCATGCAATTTCAATATAAAAATATTAACTATATTATATACAATTATCGGGTTTATTCGTAATTCATTATGGAATCAGAACAGTCGGGTTTGTTTTGATTTTTGAACGAAACCTTTTTAATTATATGCTTTTTTTACTCTTTTACTTACTTCTTGATGCGCAGATTTTATTTCAGCTTTGTTTTTCGATAACATTTCGATTGATTCTTCGTGTCTTCCTTTTCTAATACATATGGTTGTTTCATCTAATTGTTCAACATTTAATTTTTCATCTGCCATATTGATGTTATTTTTATTAATCGTTCGACCTTCTTAATTAATTTCTTTTTCTTTTCTATTGTGCTTCGAAAATAAAAATATAACTGTAAGAAATAACAAAATTAAAAAGAAAAAATGAAATAAAAATTTATAAGAAAAAAAAATAAGCTCTGTAAATACATATATGGAATACAAATCATTTTTTGAAATTCTTAGTTGGTTTATTTATGACATGTTTGCGTCTATTTTCCGATATGCTCGCTTTCGAGCTATAGCCTGTAGAAAAAAAAGGCACCGGACTTTTCTTCCATATAAATAAAAATTAATAACTTCGGAACCGCACAAAATAGAGTTATCATTAGAAGTTTGTTTTACAGGATTGTTCTTTGTTTGTAGTCTTACAATTAATTTAACTTGAGCCATCAAGCCTTGAGTTTTCGGGAAACAGCTCGTCAAAATCAGAATTTTTGTGTTTTTTTTTTGAAATTTTTTTTACAAAACTCGAAATTTCTCGAAAATTTTTGTTATTTTTTTTTTGGTTTTTTTCGATGCGCAACAATGACATCTAAAAGTTAATCTCTATAACATTTGCCTCTATCTCCCATTACTTTTTCCAGTAAAACGTGTTAAATGCGTTCAAAAACACCCGAAAAGAGCATATAAGCATATAAGCAATAATTTGTATTAAGTTAAGAAAGAATATTATGTAAAGGCTTTTGCTGCGTAGCAGGCTTATTCAATTTGTCAGCAAAGTCTGTATACACTTTATACGATACAATTTTGCGAATACGATATACATAACATAAAATGTATGAATACTGAGAAAACACTTTTTTGTCACGTTTTTTTGCGTTTTTAGCACTTTTCCAAAAATTTTTGAAAAAAAGTGCTTATTAGTTTCACTCTATCCGTCCGTTCATGGACATGTTTACAAAATTTCTACACCCTTGAAGATAGAAACCTAAAATTTTATATGTACATAGATCTTTACTAGGAACTTATTTCCACAGAAGAAAATTTTTACCTATCTCCCCCAATATAGAAGTTATATCCCCCTAAAACCCTAAAAATTGTATTTTTTAACCATTTATTACAGTGAAACCGTAAGCATTTCTAAAATTCTCCTAGAGCTTTTAAGTTTATTTCTTTACAAGAAAAATTTTTTCCATCTCCACCCCCTCACAAGTTATAGCCTTTTGAAATTTGTAAAGTTTTAATTTTTGGCGCCTTATATTTCTGAAACCGCGAGCTTTTTCAAATATCTATAAACGTGAAAAGTTAACGGTAAATTCCATGACATTAAAAAATATAAGTTTTTTCCTTTACTCACGTAATTAACCCTTAAAATCGAGCATTATGTTAACTCCTCTTTATATTTACTGCATAAATCGTTCATCCTAAATATATGCAATCCTAGAACTAGTTTCGTTTATGAATGAAAATAATTTTAATAGTATGGTAGGTGTACATAGACTGTATTTAAAAGCAGTAGTTTCACTTATTGGAGGAAAAAGTGCTACAATACAAACCATTGGTTCGACCCAACTTTATTTCTTTGTATTCGAATTCGTTATTTCTTTTTATCGTAAATTTTGGTACAATTTGTGTATTATATATAAGATATACTCGTAGAGTTTAAGTTCAACATAATTAATATTCCGTAATCATAAATTTGGAAATTGAACTATACGGAATTCGGTCGCGATTGTGATTTTCTTAAACATTGGCTGCCTTAAACAATTTTATTATACCACAAAAACCTATCCAAAACTAGAAAATTCACACGAACAAGTGTACAACAGAATTCTGTTTAGATAAACAGAGTCAACACGGTAAACTTTTTTTGTTTTCATTTGTAAATTTTACTCAATGGATTAAATGGAGAGGTTACCGAAAAAATTTCGTCAATATCCTTAAAGTCCTTGTGGCAAGAGTAATACACAGCTTTCAAAAAAAATTAACAGAATCTAACAGAAAAACTCAAGCGTCGTTGTGTTCAAGTTTTTACATAAATTATCAAAATACAAAAACAAAACTTTTATACCGTTCTAGAGAAGAGATAGATTTCGGACACAACAAATCAATATTATGTATAACAGTATTTCTCAACACTCCTCCTTTAACTTTTTCGTATCTTATCCACCCTTCAAGACATGGGTTTTCTAGTGACAATACATCTTTTCAAAAATTTTCAAGTCAAAAGCTCAAACGAAGAACAATTTGGTGGTTTACTTTTAATTTTTACGTTGAAACCGAAACTAATCTGTAAATTTTGTAAACACATATGCTCGTAAAAGTCAAAAATTTCCTTTTTTTTATAATAGAAATTATAAACTATATTATTTATAAAATTACTACAAGAAATTGAACTAAAATTAAAACTGTAATTTGTCAGGCTACAGAGTATATTTCTCAAATCAAGTGTTGTCGAGTTAAGATTTCAACTAATTATCGGCCTAATTTTTTATTTCCAGAAATTTGAATTCATCTTAAATTTTTCAAACAGTTTAACATATCGATAAATAATTATTATCAGAAAGCGTTTGATAATATTAATAACTTTTCTCCGTTTGCAGTTGATTTGAAAGATGATAATTTATCTTAAAGCTTTTAAAATGTTGAATTTAAGTTTTACAATTTTCTTCGACACTATATAATAAGCTATATATATCGCGCTTATATATAAAATCATTAAAGTTAGGTCAAAGCAATGGTTTGTATTGTAGCACATTTCCCTTCAAAAAGTAGTGAAAACGCTTTTAAATACAGTTTAGTATATCTACCACACTATTAAAAATATTTTCATTCATTTGCGAAACTATTTCTAGTACTGCATATATTTGGAATGAACAATTTATGCAGTCTTTGAAATAAAGCAAAAATTAATTTAAAGAGGACTTAACATAATGTTCGATTTTAAGGGTTAATTGCGTGAGGTAAGAAAAATAATTATATTTTTTAACGTTATGAAACTTACTGTTAGCTTTTTTCGTTCATGGAAATTTGAAAAAACTTGCGGTTTCGGAAATATAAAGTGTCAAAAATTCAAACTTTACAAATTTCAAGAGGCGATAAGTTGAGAGGGTGTGAAGATGGAAAAAAAATTTCTTATAACGAAATAAATTATTTATTAGTATCTAAAAGCTGTTAAAATTTCAGGCTCCCACGACCTGGGATCTCCAAGAAAAACGACATCAAAAATTTGGAAAAAAAGGACTTTAGATAACGGTAAATTTGAACGGCCATTTTGTTTTTTTAAAGTTTAACTATATTATGGCACGATAGGAGAAGCACTCCACTGCCTTTCTGCGTTTGCAAAATTTGCAAAAATGCTTATGGTTCCATTGCAACAAATAGTTTAAAAAGGCCATTTTTAAGGATTTGGGGGGGGGGGGGGTATAACTTTTAGAAGGGGTGAGGTAGGTAAAAATTTTGTTCAACGGAAATAAGTTTTCTAGTGAAGATCTATGCACATATAAAATTTCAGATTTCTATCTTCAAGGGTGTAGAAGTTTTGTAAAGAAAAAAAGTGTCCACAGACGGACGGACGAACAGAGTGAAATTAATAAGAACTTTTTTTCAAAAAATTTTTGGAAAAGTAACAAAAATTGTGTTACAGACCCTAAAAATATAAGTGCCCTAAAATGCTTGAGCATTTGTAGCAAAATGTTAAAAAAACATAAAACCATGGGAAATGTCCTATAAAATTTATGGATTTCAATATATTTATTAAAATCAAACTAATAATAAAGTTGGGTCAAACCAATGGTTTGTATTGTAGCACTTTTCCCTTTAACAAGTGAAAATTCTGTTTTTAAATACAGTCTATGTATACCTATCACACTATTAAAATTATTTTCATTCATATTTTACTATTTCTAGGATTGCATATATTTCGGATGATGCATTCATGCAGTCTTTGAAATAAAACAAAAATTAATATAAAGAGGGGTTAACATAATGCTCGATTTTAAGGGTTAATTGTGTGAGTTAAGAAAAATAATTATATTTTTTTGATGTCATGGAATTTACCGCTAGCTTTTTATATTTATAGAAATTTGAAAACGTTTGCGGTTTCGGAAATATAAGGCGCCAAAAATTCAAATTTTACAAATTTCAAGAGGCAATAACTTGTGAGTGGGTGGAGATGGAAAAAAAATTTCTTCTAACGAGATGAACTATTTGTTAATGTCTAAAAGCCCCTAAAGTTTCAAGCTTCTATAGGCTGGGGTCTAGAAGAAAAACAAAATCAAAAATTTGGGGAAAAAAGACATTAGATAACGATAAATTTGAACGGCCATTTTGTTTTTCTAAAGTTTAACTATAGTATATTGCGCTAGGGGAAGCAAGCCGCTGCCTTTATGCGTTTGCAAAATCTCAAAAATGCTTATGGTTTCACTGCACTAAATAGTTAAAAAAGGCCATTTTCAGGGTTTTGGGGGGGTAAAACTTCTAGAGGGGGGGAGATAGGTAAAAATTTTGTTCTACGGAAATAATTTTCTAGTAAAGATCTATATACATACAAAATTTCAGCTTTCTATCTTCAAGGGTGTAGAAGTTTTGTAAACAGACCGACGGACGGACGGACAGAGTGAAAATAATAAGCACTTTTTTTCAAAAATTTTTTGGAAAAATGCTAAAAAGTAAAAATTGCGATAATTTTTGGAGCTTCTACATTTTATTATTGCCTTTAAACTCTCGACATAGAAATGGTTTTCTTGCTATTTCCTCTGTACCATAACGGACTTTTTAACGATTAATGATATTAGAGTTTAAGCAACTGGGTAAAATTTTATGAAAAAAGTTCAAACTTTCGAAAAATTTCGTACGAAATTATCAGATTTGAAAAAACTAAGAAATAAAAAAGACAAAAATTAAATTTTTTCTAAAGTTCAAATGCTTGGTATTCCAAAAGTACATAAAATACAAAATCAACTTATATCTTCCTTTTAAACCCTATAGAAGCTTTTTCAAAAACTGTTTGTTTTAGGCTCCTATCTTTTTCCAAACAGAAGTTATAAGCAGAAAAGCTTGTACAAGTAGAAATTTCGTAGAAATTCGTTAAAATCCCTGTTACTAGGATTTCCATTAACCAAGGTTAAATTAGGATTTCCAGATAACCATTAAGATTTCGCACTAACTCCACAACAAAAGTTTCAATTCTCTAATCAATGGTGCACATTGTTGAATACTTTTCTGAATCACCCTGTATATAAGCTTTGTTTGATAATACGAGACACAACTTGAGTTTTGGAAGAAATCAAAGAATCAAAGAGAAATAATCAATAAATTTTATTAAATTTAGCTTAAAAAATGTTTGAAAATATCAGGATTCGAACACCGAAATAAGGGGCGATTTTACATTTTTTAACATATCTTCGGAACTAATTAAAAGAAATTTCTTAAATTTAATTGGTTGTTACCGCAATTAAAACTTTTCAAGGAATTTAAATGGCACAAATCGAAGCTCTACTAAGAGTCAAATTAACATTTTTCTAGGTTTGCTAGAACTTAAAGCTTACCAGCATTCTTTAAATTGGAAAGAACTATTTAAAAAGCATTTCCATAATCTTCTTATAATATGCAATTCTAAAAATATGCGTTTTCATAATTTTCGCTAAACTAAATAATAGACATGTAGGTCGGTTATATGCTTATTATATTCAATTTTTTATTACATATGTTTATTTTTTGTGACATATGTATGTACTTATTTTTTTGTATATCTGTATACCTAATAACAACGAGAATTAAAATGTATAAAAGATTAAGTTGATTTGTTTTGAAATGTTTCTGATTGAATTTAATTTGATTACAAAAAACTGTTGTACTTGAAAATATTTTTTTCATTTTTTGTAATCCACTTGCAGCAAATCAAGAATATAAGAATAGATTGAACAATGTCTTTAACGTTATTTTTTTACGTAATTAACTTTTTTAACCTAATAAAAATATATTTATCTATGTTGGACATTAAGTGTATACTAACCAGTAATATTTTCATTATTAAACTTAAAAATGTTCGCAAAAGTAGGTTTCAATTATGAATTCAATAGAATAAAGCGGGATAAAATCTAAAAGAAAAATTTTTTTAATTAATTAATTCGAAATTTAAATAAATAGATTTTTTTAAAGAAAAGAACTTCACATCATTTAAATATAGTATCATATAGAATATCGTATTAAATCCGTTATAAAATTGCAGTTATATTATTGTAAGAGTACTTAATTTTTGACTGATTACATTTCATATACAATTAAGCAGTTAAATTAATTAACATGTAGACTACTCAACTAAAGTAAATTTCCCTATTTTCTTGCATTTGTAGCCCTTTTATATGTATTTTGTACAGAAAATGTACAATAAATTATGTGCTATTTACATTAGATTTTTGTATATTATGAAATCTGTGATATCTGAGAGGATGTTATAAGCTTAAGGGCATTTAATCTCGATTTTAGTAATTCAGAGTTAAACAGAGTTCATAATACAGTAAAAAATTGAACATAATAATATAAAAAATGCAAGAAAAAAAAATTAATTTGTAATTATTTGTCTATTTCGATAATAGACCATTGGTTGTTATCTCACTCCACTTGTGGTTACCTCTTGTTGTTATCTCTTTCTGGGGAATTGATGAGTGATATAGCAACAAGTGGTCCTTCGATTAATTTGATGAAAAAGTTTAAAAAAATAAAGCAATTGGAATTTTTTGACAAAATAACGGTTCCTAAAAATGATAACTCCTTTTTAGGGTGACTATTGTGATAAAAAATTAATTACACATTAATTAATTACAGAAACGAAAAATAGTTATAATTTTTTAAGTACCTATACACTATTTAAAAGGGCCTCTAACATTTTGAAGTACAAATGGTTTTTTAGCTATATCTCCTGTACCGCAAGAGATTTTTTAATGCCTAACGATTTAAATTAAAACATAAACAGCACTTAATTAATTTAAAACTTAAACGAGAATGCTTGTATTTTTGAAAAACCATGCAAAACTAAATAGCCTGCCGTTCTTTATTTAGAGCCTTCTTGAAGCTCTTTCAAAAACTATTTGTTTGAAACTTCTATCTTTTTTGGAACGGAAGTAATAAGCGAAAAAACTTAAGTATATTATGATTTCGCCACATTTTCGTAAAATCCCTGGAGCTCGGAAACGGTTCTGAATTGACATTATGTTCTCAACAAAAATTTTACGCATTTTCAACCCTCTACCCGGGGGTATATGGCTCTTAGCTTGTCGGTAAATCACCCTGTATACATGTTAAGCAAAACGAATCGGGAATAGTTTTAGAAAATGCCACCGGTTTTCATATGTATTATATTGACTCGCTCTTTTCGAAAAATATGTATTTTCTCGCAATTGCATAATATAATATGGCAATAATATTGTTCTGACACAGAAGTGATAAATACATATATCATTCGATATATATATATATATATATATATATGTATACATACAAAAAATATTTATAAAAATAATGATGATCAATGATTGCTTATCACCACCCGTTGAATATTTTTTTTTTTAAAATGATTTTATTCCCCATCCACTTATGAAGTATACAATATACATAGAAAAGTTGGTTGAAAGAGAAAGATGCGTGTATGTGTAAACATACAGTTATATAAATGTATATTTGTATATTTGTTTATGTGCATGCCTATTTCAAAAATATTTTAAGTATATAAAGGGGCATGACAACTTCCTTTACTTTTCTTCTTTCTCGTTTTATGTTTTCGTTTTTATTATTTTAACAACACCAAAAACCACAGCGACCGGTCAACAATTTATTTCGGTTTATAATCAACAAATCGGTATTTCCGTTTATACTTAATCATTTTTTTTCTGTTATTATTATTTATTATTCCTATTTATTGTATTTTAAAAAATTTCTCAATACCGTAATCTAAATAGTTACCAAGATATTACCAAATAAATATTGAAGTTCTATGGCATCTATTATATATAGTTTCAATAATTTCTGAAATACTACAAATTAGCTTGTAAGTTGTATAACAGCTATCACAAGCGCTTTTGATATCTCAACAGGTTTTACCGAAAATAGAGACCATATTATCATATTTGTTTACACAAAATTTGAGTACTTTATCTTAAGTAGTTTCTAAGATATTTTCAAACTTATTCGTTAGTTGTTGAGCACAATAAAGTATATTTACTGCACTTATTTCTTCTTTTGCATGGAATTTTTCTCGAAAGAAAGGTGTTAAACTTGTTTGAGTTAGGAAATGTAACCTAATGTTTTGATATTAATATCAAAACATATTTCTCAGAATTTTGTAAGTATATAAAACTGAAAATTCTTATTGAGAAGATAGATATCGTACGCTAAGGAATTGCTTCTCAATTAACACACACTAGAGCAATATGATGTTCAATGTTTAGTACTAATTACTAACTTTACTATTTATCTAATAAAATATAGGTACTTTTCCAGAACAGCGATTACAAATCAGACGATAATACATCAGTCACTTCGACCACTTTCATTTGCAAATGGAAGTCAGCTGATTTTTTATAATATTCATAAATAAAAATATCTTTTTTTCTTAACTGTTTTCTAAACTACAGCCATTAAAACAGCCATTTTTATAATTAGTTCTAGTAAATTCAGTAACACATACGAATAATTGGAAAAAAATTACAGTTACATTAACAGTAAAAACTGGGATTCGCACTAACGTCAAAAACTGTTAGAATTCATGAACTTTGCAAATTATGTGCAAATGGTGTTCTGGACAGAATGTGCTATAGACAGCGATTTTAAAAGTAATTTTTTTAGTACTACGCAGCGTCCTTTCGATTTTTTATTATTCAACATAATAATGAAATTTTTTCAAATAAAAAAAAATGGACTTACCGGTTCTTTTCCGTCTCCTTCAATACTTCCACTTCTTGTTTCTTTTTCTTATTTGTGTGCCTGTTGTTTATTCTTTTTTTGTTTATTTTTTTTTTTTTTTGGGTATTGTTGCTAAGCACAAATCCTATAAATTAAAAACTTATTATTGTTTCTATATCTTCATTTTCACTTTAATTTTGAGTTTTACTGTATTTTTTTTAATTGCAGTTTCTCTTTAAAATTATTTGTCTCTTTTGCTTTTCAATGTTTTATTTTTTTCTTTTATATTTTTGCTCTTATATAGTAATTAACTGAATATATAAAATAAAAAATTATAAAGTTCAATTTTAATTTAATTTTAACGGCAAAAAATATTATTTACAAAATTGTCAATTATATAATTTTGTTTCCCAATTTCTTTTTCTTATTCTTTTTGAATTGTTATTCATTTGTATGCATGTTTGTGTGTGTTTTTTCTTTAATAATATGTCATAAATCATAATGTAGACATAAATTTTAAATATTACTAGATGAATTGCTAAGGTCAAGCATCAGTTTAGAAAAGCATCACAAAGACAGCTATCATATTGCCAGGCAAGATTGTCATCATCTAAACAATAAAGTAAAAGGAAAGATGGCGATGATGAGATACATAAAGTTAATAGGTTAATTATTATGGCGGCACAACTTACTACTATAATAAACTGCAATCAAACAATTCAAGCATTTACCAGAAATTCTGGATATTAAGAGTGCACCTTTCATAATACCATAGACAAAAATATTCCGGGCAATAAGAATATGGCGAAACATTATATTTTTCCAAAAAAATAATGATTAATAAAAATTATAATACCAGATATCAATTTAAGAGAGCGTAAAATCTTCAAGTCTAACCAACCCTGCACTCAATGCTAGTAACAGCTTTAGCACGGTACGATACCAGACACACAACGTGAAAATAATATGCACATTATTTTGGTTTCCCGAAATTGTTTTTAGAAATATACCAAAAAGTCTAGCAATTTTCAAAGCATCCTATTTTGAAAACTGTCCCAATTTTTCGAAATTCAGTTTTTTTTTTTTAAATTGATCCCTAAAAATATCCAAATTAGAACACAACAATACGTTTCTCTAGGTACAATAATGTTGTTTAACAATTTCAAATTTTTATTTCAAATTTTTGAAATCTCAAAAGAAAGACTAAATGTTTTCTTTATTCATTTATTCTATAGCACTTGATGTCTCCAGAAATTTTTAAAATATGTTCATAGATATCGTTTTGTTCAAAATAAGAAATTAAATTAAAATAAACTTTTAAATATTTCAAAAATTTCTATTATATGCTAATCACGACACACACTTCCCATTATGATGGAAAATAAGTTAATATTGGCTCATAAATATAATATAAGGTATACATAAATAATTTGACATTAAGCTAATTTTGTTTTTGTTGGTATTAACTAATTCTTTGTTTTAATACTTTACACATTTTTACCGACTGTATTGTGTATACAATAGGAACGTTATGTGATGGCAACAAATTTTGCATATCGAGTTTACGGTGGGAATGCACTTCTCCATGGTAGGGAAGTGTAAATAAACTATTTTTAGCAGCCTATCGGTCTGTTGGTCTGTTTGTCCACGCGTGTATCTCAAGTTCGTCTGAACCGATTTTGATAAAATTTTATATGTAAGTTTATTTCGACTATGGCACGGATTGATCAACTTTTGGGATATATCAAGCCTCGGGAACTGCACTTTTTAGCGGGCCTGTTTTACACTTTTGACCATTTTGATGAAAAACTTCAACCGATTTACTTCAAATTTCATATATAAACCGCTTGACCGTCCGCGAAACTTCCTAACTTTTGGAAGAAATCAGATGTCACCAACTGAAGGTTTACTACGGGCCAAATATACATTTTTGCGTAAAGAGAAAAAATCAACCGATTCCATTGAAATTTAATATTTAAATTTTTCGTATTAAAACAATGAACATATAAATTTTTTGGAAAGATCATGGCTGGAAAACTGATCTGCGGGCCGATTTTACATTTTTTACCATATCTACGGAACGGATTGATGGAATTTTTTGAAACTTGATATTTGAATTCTAGTTGTTACAGAAACTAAGTGGCAAGCATTTCAGGGAATAACACAAGCACAAAGCGAAACTGTACTAAGAGTCATATTTACATTTTTCTAGGTATGTTAACTATAAGCTTACTAATGCCCTAAAAACTGGAAAGAAGTATTTAACCGTCATTTTTATAATATTCCGTAACACTTTCACCTTACTAGACAATACAAATTGCGGTCGGTTATCTGCAGATCACATCAGATTTTCTTTTTTGGAAATTGTACTTTTTTTTGGATCTCTTGAAATTCCCCAACGGAAACACTAATACCAACAGTAATCAATCAATGAGTTATAACTTAATAATGAACATGAACCTAAATTTTACAAAATTCTTGCAGTTCTCTATGTCATATGGTTTTACTTTAGCACCTTGATAATATGTTGCGTGTGAATATAATAACTTTCTGCAAAAATACATTCTTATTGAAGTAAAATACTGGGAAACTACAGTTCATTCTAGGAAGTCCCACTTATACACATATGTGTATTCTATAGCAATTTTGATATTTTGTATTGTTTTGTTCTCAACATACATAAATCATCCAAACATGTTATAAAATTCTACTTCGCAAGCATTACGTATGCCAGAAAAAAAAATTATAATTTTATGAATGATATTGAATTTGTATATGGTTTTTTTTTTGTTGTTTTCTGTCGTCCTGTATAATTTGCTTCGTTTGCACAATGTATATGAGAATGTTTAAAATTTTAAGTTCACCTATTCTGCAAACGAATTGAATTTTTATTACTATACTATTCAGATGAAGGTAGATTTTTTTTCTGTTCTAATATAATATAAGTGTATATAACTAACGCAGAACTATTTTTTCTATTTAAGTTCATAAATAAAAACAACATGTAAAAAATAACAGAAATATTTCACCCTATTCTTTATGTGTTCATTTCATGATTCGCGCACTAATTTCTTTGCTGGTTTAATTTAGTTTGCAGAAAATATACAACTATATGATAAAAATCCATAACAATATTAGGATATTAAATTATGACAATAAAAATAGTAAATTGTACTATATTCAAATGTAATCGCTTATGTATTTGCTTATGTTTAAGGCTTATTCAACTTAATGAGAATATGAAAATAAAACGAAAATTAATAAATTGCGCAGAATATCGGCAATACGAATACGATATAATATGTACAGAATTGAAAATGTCTTTAGTTTTGTTTTTTTTCTTTTTCTGCATATTATTTTTTTCGTTTTCTTTCTGTTCATTATTTCTTCTGCAAGTGTTGGACATTTTACTTGGGCAAATATTAATAAGATATATAATAATTTAAATATAATATATGCATATCTACAAATATGTATGTATAACGATTAACATAATTTTTTTTAATAAATTTAAAATAAGTTAAATTTTCTAAATTTTAAATTTAAACATCAATTAAAACATAATAATAATATTATAAATACTTTATATTTATTTTCAATATAATATGTTCAATATAACTAGTCCACTGATTACATATTATTGCATATTATTCGTTATATAAATACATAAATACAAAAGTACACACTACCAAAAAATTGCTTAATTTTAGGAGAAATCATATTATATATGTACATATATACTGAGAACAATTTTATCTAAATTAGACATTTTTTTTAAACATAACAAACTACAAAGCTTTTGTTTTTATTTTGAATATAATTTTTAGAAGTTTTAGAAATATATTGTTATCAAATTAGTTATACTTTTGAGCCGTTCATGAAAATCAATTATGGTAATTAGAATAAAAAAAAATGTCTGAATGAGTTACAATAATTTTGCACAACAGGAACTGAGAAATATTTACAGCACATTTACAAGTAAATTCTTTCTTATTTGAAAGAGTTTTTATTTCAATACCCACAAACTTGTGTCCATTAAAACATTTTTTATTCAGGTACATTTTGTTTTAAAAAACGAAAAGGTACCAGTGCCAAAAGAGCTACTTATATACCTTTATTACAACATTTGTACATCAAAATTGGATTATCTACGAAAATTCTATATATTATATCCATTTTAGTTTTATTTTATCCATATAATTGAAATAACTCTGGCCCGTTTTTCTATAAGAAGTGTAGAAATACATTTATGTTGTATAAAGATAAAAACTATTTCTATTTTGAGTAAAAATTTTCAAATATTTTGTTATTTGAAAACTTAGACATGTGTTTTTTTCAGCATAGATTTGGAAACTTATAGCAGGTGCTTATTATTTTACTGGAATTCTTTTAATTATTTATAGTTTATTGAACATTTTTATTATTTTTTTTGTTGTTATAATTTATTTTATTTATAAATATATTTTAAATTAATTAATAAATACATTTTTTTGTCATTTAAATTGAAATTAACCATGTTATTTAATATATTGTGTATAAATTTTTGATATCAAAACGCGCATCATTACAACAACCATACAACATACACAGATATGAAGAAAGTATTTAAGGAGATTTTATTAATTCTTAATATACATATATATGTATGTGTATGTAAAAGTTAGATATTGCGAAATAAAAAGAGAAAGTTCTTTTATTCCAATTTACATTATAGTTTTTTAATTACTTTAAGTGCATAATTAATTATATTAAGTTCATCTTATATACTTTATATTTATTTTCAATTCAAATTTAATTTTACCTAAATTTTAATTGTTTCAAATTTAACTTGTTTTTTTGTTTTTTTACGATCATATTATTTGTACATACAACGTTCGCTACCCGGCGAGTTTAAATTACAAAAACATGATCGAGAAAATTTTGGTTCTCTATTATATAAAGGAAATTCCAATAAAGAATTCCCAAAAGGAATATATCGTGTTTAAAATATATATCTATAGTTACAATGTACATAGTGTCAGGTCAAGCATTTTTTATAAATATACGTATATATAAATATTGACATACATACAGTAGAGTCTATTACTAACATTAAAATGTTAGTAATGTCCATGTTAATAATTCGAAAAGAATACAGAAAATTAAGTGACTTTAACCGATAGTTGCAGTGCTCGAAGTGAGGCGGGATGGAGTGGGATGCCATCCCAGTACTTTTAAATAATTGGAAATCCATCCCACTACTTAATAGAAGAGAAAAATGCGTTCCGGAACATGTTTTTTAAAATTTAAGAAAATTTTCTAATGAATTTTAAAAATTTTTTTAACAAAAAATTAAATATATGTAATTTTAAATAAGACCAATTTCAAATAGTAACGTATAATTTTTTTCTATTAATAAAATTTTCGTTACTACATAGTAGTCTATGCATTTCTTTGGTAACAATTTGCACAGTTTTTGATTCAATTTTTAGTTGATTTAATTTTGAATATAAATATTCTCATTAGTTTACTTCCAAAAATTGGTAAATTTTGTTTAGTTATTTTTTTAAAAAATAACTAAAATAATATTTTTGTTTTTTTTTTTCACTTCAACCACTGAGTTGTGAAAATATACAAAATCATTAAACGGATTTTACACACACTCTGTTGAAATAGACGAGGGTTTTTGAATTTACCATATTTTATGAACATCAAAATGGAGTTAAAATATATTTTACAATTATGTACATATACATAGTATCTATTTTTTATATACATATATGTGTTAATTTATTAAATACTTGGATGAAAGGAAAAACATCTAATTAATTGCTGAATTAGCAGGATGTTTGTTTCATGGCTATATTAAATAGCATAAATTCCGTCAATAATTCAATCTATTGGCAAATTAATAATTTTTATTTTTGTACAAAATTTTAAATATAAATGGGATTCTAATTGTTTCATTTTTAAATAAATCTCGATGATTTTAAAGCGAGTTGTGAAATAAAAAAAGAGTTGCCATTATCTTATTACAAATACGTGTAAAACTATAACTAAAAATTTTTTACCACATGACTTTTTATTTGAAATAATAACGGAGTTGTGATGCGTTATCTGATGTGATTTTACGCGAATTTCACTCTGTATATATGTGTGTATATATCAAGCATATTGTATATGGAATTCGATTAATTCTTATTTGACATTATTTTAAGTATTTCAACAAATAAATACATATACATATATATGCACTAATATATGGATTATTCTTTAACCGACGAGGTGGTAGTAAATTTTACACTTTACAATTTTCTTCTATAATCACTTCATTATATTTTACTCTCACAATTGTATATTCTTTGTATCTTCATAGCTCATAGTTCATACTTTTTTATGCTCTCTTACCCAGTGTTAATTTTGTTATCGTGCATAAAACACTTACAGAAAAGTTGGGAGAGAGATGTAAAAATTAATAACTCGACTCCAATTTGTTAAAAATATCACCTCGTACCTTAAAAATAATTGTTATTTTTTGTATACCCATATATTCTACATTACATATACATATACATATATATTTATTTTACAGGAATTATTTGGTACAAAATACCAATATAATTCCTCCGGATAATTTTGTGTATGCAAATTGCAACATATTTTTTGGAGGATTCTTTTTATATAATTTCTTATTCTTCGGTGCACACACAATTTTTCAATATATTCTACACTGTACATTATCAGAACTGTAATAATAACTGTATAATAATGCTGTAATTCAGCCTATAAATGCTATGGTTGCTGATTACAATTCCGATGTTAGGGTATATGTATATTTATATATATATGTATATGAATGCATATATATTTTATATGGGAAATTTTAACCATGTCACCAATAATATCAATTTATTGAACAATTTTTATTTACACTTATTTTTTTTATTATTATTATTATTATTATTATTCACCGTTTTTATACATATTTACACATACATTAAGGTGTGTGTGTATTGTTATGTTGAGTTTGTGTCTCTCAAATGATCATGATCCTTTATAAAAATTGTATATTTATTTTTGTTTATTAAAAAGAAAAGTAATTAGGTATTTGTTTTTGTTGAGAATAAAAATGTTGAAGGATTTTCAATACAAGAGGGTTAAAAAAATTGCAAAGTATGTGTGTGCGTGTTTTATTTTATTTTATGTGAACTTGCTTTAATTTTTTTATTTTATTTTTTTTGTTCTTATTCAAAATTTACATTGAAATATTTTTATCTTTATTTTAAACAAAATTTTTATACTAGAAATTTTTAATATTTTAAATTTTTTAATTTAAAAAAAAAAAAGAAATTTATTTTTATTTTTTTTCCAAATAATTGTTTTTTTTTTTAATTTTTTTTTTAATACATTTAACCAGGTTGAAGTCTTTCAAACTACTGATCAGAGTAAAATGGAAAAATTACTTATGCAAAATAAAATTATTTAAAAAAATTCTAATTTTAAGAGTTAAAAAAAAACAAGAAAAAATAAATAAATAAAAAAGGCTTAGATTTGTGTTTTATACGTAACGGTACTTACCCAATAATTTCACTTTTTTCTTCTCTTATATTTTGTTTAGTTTTATATTTTTATTTAGTTTTATTTATTATAAAGTACATAATATAAGCGTTATAACTTCATTAATAAATTTCTCTCCGTCACCTATAAAATGTATACATATTTGTATATATATCTATATTTTCTCTCATAATTCAAGCGAATTACAGAGGGGTTGAAAATCAGAGATGCTACACCCGATATATATTCTATAAACATTTCAAGAAGATGAGAGTATTTTTCAAATGTCTAGAATACTAATTTTGAAAACTAAAAAAATTTCAGAAAATTAATTAACAAAAAAATACTAAAGTAAATTGTGACGTAGTCTATATAATCTGATTTCTGGATGACAATTCTAACGTGTTCGCTGCCAAAGTGATCATGCTTCAACCAGTCAGTAGCATTAATAACTTTTATTTGTCAGATTTGACAGTTTAAATGACAGAATCATATACAAAAAATTTCAAAGAAAAAATTTCCTGAAAATTCGTTTAAACCCCTGTATCTCGGAAACCATAAAACAACTCTAGTCATTCATGATGTTTTAAGAATTTTTAATACACAAAAAAAGATATTTACTTGCGTTAGCAACAAAACCTGGAATAATATTGATAGCGTGAAAAAAGTATTGGAACTCACGACCAGTGAAATGACGTTTCGCATTGATAAAGTCTAGTCAAACTTGTCAATTATTAGCAGAGAAAAATCTTACAAGCAAGCAGTTCTATTAGAATTTTTCATATATTAAAAACTCCATCATGACATATCAAACCACTAATAACGATAAATAAATTACCGTAGTATACATTTGTTTTAAATTTTAAACAAATAAATTTTTATTCACAATATTCAGAAAATCTTCATAAAAGAATACGAGTATCGTATCTTAAAAAAAAAGTCCATATAAATTAATTTTGCAAATTTATTTTCAGCATATTGCTATACATATTTAACGCTATATAATTTTGTTTCTTGAAATGTTTCGATTTTGAAAAAAAAATTAATATAGTCGTAGTAGCATCACTGCTTGGAATATTACATATATTTAAGATATTAAAAGGTAAATTATCTCAAATCTCAATATATATAATCTCCTCTCTCTCACACTCTCACTCTATAATATATATAAATGATATTTTCATATATGTATATCTTAATATTGTTGCATAATATATATATATAATATATATGTGTACCTACTTTTATATATATTATATATACATAATACATATATATAATAAATATAATATAATATAATATATTTTATATATTATACCCAAGTAACAATTTCCAAGAGTAATACCCTAAAAAATTGACCAAAACTCTCATAAAACTCTCATACTTTTTTCATCCGAACTCTTATTATTTTTTTTTCTTTTTTTTTGTTTTTATGCAACTCTCGTAAGGTTCTTATAATAAAGACTTAACACTTGTAGTGTTAAAAATTCTGCTACTCTCATAGCAAAACTACTTTCAGCAAGCCAAAAAAAATTTAATTCCCATAAAGTATTTTTTATAAGATGTCAACTCTTATAGAATATTGTTCTTAAAACAATTCCTTTATAAGTCTAGTTGTTAGGCACGGCCATTTATGTATATTATCATTATTCCTTATCTAAATTTCAACCGTAATGAGACTAAGAATTCCTTTTTTTTGGAAGAAGTCCGAAAAATCTTTATTGTACAGAAATTATTAAATTATAGTCAATGAAATTCAAAATTGCAGTTTTATTTGTATATAATAAAGCTTTAGTTGGATTTTATGCACATTAGTATATTTATTTTTTGCTTAACAATTCTTAAATTTTAAAATTTATGTAAAAATAAAGTTGGGTCAAACCAATGGTTTGTATTGTAGCACTTTTCCCTTCAACAAGTGAAAATTCTGCTTTTAAATACAGTCTATGTATACCTATCAAACTATTAAAATTATTTTCATTCATATACAAAACTATTTCTAGAATTGCATATATTTAGGATGACGCATATATGCAGTGTTTGAAATAAAGCAAAAATTAATATAAAAAGGGGTTAACATAACGCTCGATTTTAAGGGTTAATTGTGTGAGTTAAGAAAAATAATTATATTTTTTAATTTCATGGAATTTACCGTTAACTTTTTGCGTTCATAAAAATTTGGAAAACCTTGCGGTTTCGGAAATATAAGGTGTCAAAAATTCAAATTTTACGAATTTCAAGAGGTGATAACTTGAGAGGGGGTGGAGATGGAAAAAAATTTTCTTCAAACGAAATAAACTATTTGTTAATGTCTAAAAGCTCCTAAAATTTCAAGCTTCTACAGGCTGGGGTCTAGAAGAAAAACGACATCAAAAATTTGGAAAAAAAGGACTTTAGATAACGGTAAATTTGAACGGCCATTTTGTTTTTCTAAAGTTTAACTATAGTATATCGCGCTAGCGGAAGCAAGCTACCGCCTTTCTGCGTTTGCAAAATTTCAAAAATGGTTATGGTTTCATTGCAACAAATATTTAAAAAAGGCCATTTTTAGGGTTTTGGGGGGGTATAACTTCTAGAGGGGGGAGATAGGTAAAAATTTTGTTCTACGGAAATAAGTTTCTAGTGAAGATCTATGTACGTATGAAATTTCAGCTTTCTATCTTAAAGGGTGTAGAAGTTTTGTAAACAAAAAAGTGTCCACGGACGGATGGACGGACGGACGGACGGACGGACGGACAGAGTGAAACTAATAAGCACTTTTTTCAAAAAATTTTTTGGAAAAGTGCTAAAAAAAGAAATAGGATATTATAGGGTTAAAAAATATGTATAAAAATTTTTTAAATTTTAATTATTTTTAGTTGGCGTTGCTTTTTTCGAAGTACAATCAATACAAATATTTATTGATTACATATAAGTATACGTAAACGTATGCATACCTTTGTTTCATTTTTGTTAAAAAAAAAAATTATTAAAAGCGGAATAGATGTAGTTTTATAAAGTTCGAAGTAAGACCGATATATTTATTCTACAATGTTTTGCTTTCTGTTTCTAGTAACACTATTATAAATGGCTTGTGAGAGTTTTCGTAACTGTCATAGTAGTTTTGGTATGACAGTTATAAGCTTTAAAAGCTCTTTTAAAGAGAGCTTAACTCTCATTCGAGAATTAATAACTCTAATAATTGCGCTCTTTTGTTCTTATAAAGATCTCATAAGGGTATTTTAGTGTTCTACAAAACTGAAATTATAAGAGTAATATTCTTAAAGAATTCTTAATATACATATGTAGGTGTACAAGAGTCTTATGAGATAAAATTGTTACTTGGGATATAATAATATATAATATATATACATATATATATATATATATATATATATATATATATACACATATATATATATATATACATATATATATATATATATATATATATATATATACATATGTATTTTATATATATGTATATAAAATCCCATTATTATTTAATTCCAATTTCTAGATCATCAATGATAATACAAAAATAAAAAATGGTGGTGATAATGCAAGGCTATACATACATACATAACACTACACAACAGTATATATCAAAATGATAAATAGTAAAAATAATTCAGAGGAAAAAGATAAAACCAAAACAGAAAAATTTTATACAATTTACCACCACCCACCACAAGTAAATAGAATTTAATTTTTTTTATATTTTTTATATTCATATTAAATTGAAATACAAAAAAAAACAAATAAATAAAAAATACCTACAAAAATGCTATTATTTAGTATTTACTGTTACTATTTTACTCTATATACATACGTATATATGCAAGCACATAAATATCACAAACATGTTTATGAATTTATTTTATTGTATGTATTTCTCAAGAAGATTTTATTATTAATGAGCTATTATACAAAAAAAATATTGAAAATAGTAGTAAAATAGTAATATAATAATCATAT